CCCCCCCGTCGTCTTCTCCCCCTGCTCATGCTTTTAATGGGAGTTTAGGAGTTAAAGTTTTGGGCCCTCTGCTTATTTCTTCCCTCATGTTGTTGCTTATTGATTTACTCAGACCAGGTCAGATCCCATCTCATCTATGTCAACAGCCCACTTAAAACTTCCTTTGCAGGTTAGACAAAACTGAGCTTGCAGTCTCCCGGCAAAAGCAGGCTAGAAGAAAGGACAGAGCCGGGACACCGGTCGAAGGCAGAGCCCAGGGGAGCAGAGCCTGGTGTTCCTGCTGCTGCCATGGCATGGTCCAGCAACTGGTACTTTTGCTCTCACTGCACTAGCTGCTGCCTCCTCACAGACCCGGTTCTTCTCTCAGCAGCAGCAACAGCCAGCCTGCTTCCAGGCTTGGAAGGGTGGAAAGTAGGCAACAGGGCCATGACTAATTTTGCTAGGCCAAGCACTTGGCTGCTCTGGGAAATTTGTTGTTTTGTTTATGCTTGATCTGGTTCTGTTTGGCCCCAAGAAGTCAATGGAGTACAGAACTTGGCCTTTATTTGTCCTAGTTACTCAGCTGTGGTTCAGCGTTACCTAATGCAAGTTTTCAGAGGTCCTGTGCCAAAGCAGTCCAGCTAAGACCACGTTGTTCCTAAACATCTCAGGTCAAACACCAAAAATCCCTAGTTATGAATACTGAAAATCTTTTGGTCCAAAGCACATATTTTTTTTTTCTTTTTTGGTTTCCTAGGGTATTTCAATAAGAGTCCTAGAAAATGCCTCACACATTTCTGTTTTTAACTGCTATATAAGCCAGCTTGCTGTGTACCTCAAAAGCTTTTTCAGGAAGACAGAACAAGACAGCAATTTGCACTAGGACTATGTTCCTTAAAAAGAATCCCCTCTTTTTGAAAAAAGACCTGAGCATTGCCTAGAAAAGGAAACTGGGAGGGGAGTGCCAGCTTTTGCTTTTCTCTTACTCTTTTTTTCCCTTTTTCTGGAGTGCCTATTTAAAAGATTTCTTTGCATAAGTCTTTACAAACAGACTTCAGCTTTCATTTGCTTGCACCAGCGATGGAAAAGCAGTGGATAGATGGAGGGGATTGCAAAGCACCTGGTTTGCATCATGCAGAACCACCAGAGGTCAGACTTAAACTCCTATTCGCTTCTAATGCTGAGCAGTTTAATTCAGACTGACATTTATCATTGCAACAGAAAGTGCAAAAGGCTTACGGGACATTTACTGCATTCCTTCTGTTCCTGGGAGACTGCATCCTTCCAAACTATTTTCTAGCTCTTTGTGTTACACACAAAGGCCTCTGGTTTTGCTTCATGCTTTTTGGAAGCTGGTGGGACTGTCACAACTGGTTTGAAGACTTTCCTGATAATCAGCCTGGAATTACCCTTTCTTTTCATCCTATCACTCATATCATACTCCTCGTGTAATATCTCAGGTGTGAGCATAACAAAGCATAACAATTCTTCCCGTTTTTGAAGGGGAAGAATTTGGCTTGCACAAATTAACTTGGACAAGTTACATGTGGCTTGTACAAGAAGCGGCCAACTTTCACAACACTAATGACCCTTTTTGAACAGGTGATTTTCAGGGCAAGCATGCGGAGCAGTGGGGTGCTTGCTCCTGTAGCAACTGTGAATGCTTAGATGATGAAGTGAGTAATGCAACATCCAACAGTGCACGAAATAAAGGGTTATAAGCTCTGAGCCTCTCCAGACAACCTCACTTCTCCCTCAGCATTCTCCTTTCCATTGTACTGTGTGATGGGAACAGCAATATTGCTGCTGCATAGCACCAGGGACCAGCCCATTTGCAGCCCACAGACTGGATCTAGCCTACAGGACAATTTGTGCCTTGCACTGGGATAGGTGAGGTAGGACAGTGTAGGAAGTCTTACAGCTATTGAACACCTTTTAATTCCTTGCACTTGTAGATGCTTTGGTCCATTAAACACTCCTGTGTTCATATGGAAGGAGGAAGTTGCAACAAGAGGAATCTGACCTGTGGTGGTAGAAAAAGCTGGCCAATGTACTGTGGGAGTTCAGCACCTCCGTCTCATGGGAGCATCACTGTGTTTGACCGTAGCCGAAGATGCTGAGCAGATGGAGGTGAGGGGGGGAAACTTGTGCAGGGTGGGTCAAAACCCATTTTCGGGAGAATGGCAGACAAAGGGGCACAACAGATGTAGCACAGAAAATAAAACTTGCAGCAATAAAAGTCAGAGGCTTGTCCATTGTCAGAGTTAAAGTTTGAGCAGCAAAGTGTTGCCTGTGGCTGTGGTGTGGTTGTAGGCTGGGGATCGTGTGCTCCGAGTTCATAGACATAGATGCATAGAGGAAAACTGGCAGCAGGACAGACTTTCTTCTGCCATATTAGGTCAGCATGCATCATCCTTGACTACAAGGGATGCCTGAGGAGTAACAGGGTAGTTCACACACCCAGCCTGCTCAGTCTTTAATTGCCCAGCTGACGGGCAGTCAAAACAACCAGTCCCATTGAGAGCCACTTGTGACTGTCCTGGATGAGGTCAGATCTGGTAGGAGCTGAGATTAGTCTATAGGATCATACCACAAAGACTGCAAAATGTATTTGATGACCTGCAATGGATGTGAGCCAGTAATTTGGAGGTGATTTACTCAACACTCCTTTTACCCATCATGGATCTTGGGCACGGTAATCTAATTTTAAAGTAGTAGTGAAGACCGTGCCAATATACTGTTTGGCTCCTCTTGTGTCTTGGTGTCAGCCAGGAGGCAGTAGGACTGGTAATGACAATCCTGACTTTCCCAGTATCACGCTTGCAAAGAACCATAATATCTAACCTTTAAATGCTCCCTATACAAGCTAGACCACAGAAACCAGCTGGAGTCCCAGCTACTCTCATGTTGTCACCAGACCACCTCATTAGCCTTGTGACTTGTTAAACACAATTCTGTCAAACGTTGTTCTCCAGCCTGCCATTATTCAGATACTAACTAAACAAACTCCCACTAGCTCCCTTGGGGATCATTACATCTCTCTGCATTTATGCTGTGGCAGCAAAAGTTTAAGCCTGGATTGTAATCATAAAGAAATTAACTCGCTAATTAAAAATGGTCCTTTAAGCAACATGCATTGAATAATCCATCATAAAAACAAATGAATCCGTAGCAGTGCTTTTGACTTGATAATCTTTCTTCTGCTTAAAATTTAAATCAGTTGCATTTTTTTCTCTCAGTCTGTAGCCTATAGAAAAATACAATGAATTACTAAAAAGAAAGCAATAGTTCGAACTGCAGTAGCCATGGTGTGGAATATATATTTTAGATCTGTCACTGCAAGATAGATTTGTACATCATGGACCTGATTTTTGGCTGAGATACCCTCCAGGCAGTTCCATTGACGTTAGTTGTGTTACACAGAAAGTAAGTTAATGCAGAAAATTTGGTTTCAGATGTTTGCAAAGTGTTTTGAAGATAAAAGAACTGCACATGCCAGAACTGATCTAGTTCTTATTGAAATCTCTAGTGAAGGTCCTGTTTAATTCAACAGGAGCTGCTGGATCGGGTCTGATGAATACAGCAGAGCTGTGTTTACAAGTAAGCATTTGGAAATAATGACAGTTTAGTCATTTTAAATATTGCATATCTCTCCCTACCTATAGGTGCGAAGTGAACTATTAACAGTTCACAATAGGTGCCTACTTTTAGACAAAGTCACTCAATTTATGGCTGCTAGCTGTACTGGTTGTGTGATGAATACAAGAAGTAAGAGAAGATTATATGGCTGGAGAAAGATGCAAAAGGACACCTCTAACTTATATGAGATTATGTGGCACTGTTCCTGAAACTAAAGAAAAGCAAATTCAAATCTCCTTGCTTCATCACTTTCCCCCATCACAGTTCCACTTTTCTAGATGTTTGTACAGTCTGCAGTAATTCACATCTTTCATCCCCAGCCCATGCCACAAGCCCTCCATGTCTCTATTTTTAAAAATCAGCCTTTATCAGTACTGGTCTCAGCATTAGCAACCTGATATTCCTCACCTTTTGGTCCAGGTAAAATTGTGTGTGTCGAGCAGACATCTGTTGTAGGTCGATTGTCAACATCAAAACCAAAAATCTGAACGTGGAAGATAAAAAGCACTACTAGGGTCCCGTATTTCCTTAGCTGTTGTTCTTTCTTGCTGCTCATCCTTACAGCTTCTCAGGAAATGCCTTTCGTTGTTACAGTCTTAACAAATGCAGCTGATTCAAAAATAAATGCTCCACTAACTGAAGCAGTGCAAAGATTGGGAGCTACATGCAAGAACAGCTAAATAAAGTGAAGAAAGGGGTTTGACGATGCTGTAGTTATTTCTGTCCTGCACATTATCCAGGATATTTATTTAACACTGACAGCTGTTTATTCCAATTTATCTCTTATCTGTGAGATGTTTAGCTGCTTTTGCCATGAAAAATTTCTTCAATATATGGGGATATCTCTTTTGTCGTTTTTTTTTTCCTTTCGGCACTGAATCTTCATGCCCAGCTTTTCACTTATTCAAGAGACAAAAGATTTCGGTATTGTATCCAAGTGAGTACTAATTAGTTATAGGATACTTGTGGCTGGTTTTGTGCTGGAAGAGTAACGCAGACTCCATGTAACATATAGAGAGACTTTTCCATGAAAGCTTTCCTCCAGGGAGACCATTAGTGACAACAGACAAGCTGCCAGTCTGCTGTGGGTGGAAGTCACTGGTGCTATTTCACACTTTTTGGGTGCCAGGTACCCGTAGCCCCCAGAGTAGCAAATGAAAAGTTGATGTTACCAATGGGTGTTAGAGCCAAAAACCCACAAATGATGGTTTTATGCTTACAGATTGCCTCACAATGGTTGCTCCAAGCCCAGAGTATGTTCGTAGACACAGTACAGAAGGACAGACTTCAGGATTGAAGCCACAGAGTAGGATGAGCTTGAATGACTGTAGTAGCTCCTCCCATATCATCTTCCTCCTCTACTTGCTAACTGGGAGAGACCATACATCAGGACAGTGGTATAGCATAGGTCCCAGCAGAACATCATCTTTGGGTTGTCCAGGAAGCTGCTGCTGGTTCAAATCCACGAGGTAACTGTCAGATTTTCAGCTGGGTGTTGCGACTTTGCAACCAGGTGTAGGAGGCCTCCTGGATGGGGGAACAGATAGCATGCAAAACCGCTATATATCCTCTTGGATGGAGCTGTGACAGGTATCTGTCCATGTGCAATCTCTTCTAGAAAAGAAACTCTAGCTTTCTCTTAGGGAGAACACTGTAATCAGGGACAGCAGACTGTTCGAGGTAGCCTGGCACCAAAGAAAGGGGAGATGAGCATTTGTAATCTTTCCAAGAATTTCATTAACTTCTGGTTTCTTACACAATGAAGGAGACAGCTACTAAAAAAGCTGAACTATGCTTTTGAACTGCCTAGTGTGTGAGAGCGCATGTTTGCTTTCCATTCTAGGCAAAAAATTTATTTCCTATCATAATAGCTTTTGAGATGTTTTCCTCATTATTTAAGAGAGTATTAGTTCCTTAGCCCTACAACATTTCAGCCTTTTAGTAGACGGAAAACGTAACAACACTGATGTAAAAGTTAATATCTTTTCTTAAAGGCTGAAGGAGGGCTTTGATTTCAAGCTTTTATGTAGGATGAAATGTTGGCCAAAGTCCCAAGAGGGGTCAAGACACTCCTCTCCCTCTTTCTTTCTTTCTATCCTGGTCACAGACTGTCCCACTTTTGAAAACACTTTTTTGTTAAACTGTATACAGTACTTTTCAGAAATAAATAGTGGTCTCTGTCCTAAAGAATGTCATCTAACTAACATCCTCAGATGTGGCCTTAATAACAAATACACCACAGCTAGAGGGGGAGGAAAGAGAAAGCCAGGATTATAGATGGATAGAGTTGTACCAGGAATAAACTTGTTCCTCTGTGATTTGCGTTTGGGCACTGTGCCTCTGACTTGTACACTGTAAATCTGTTTTATTTATCTTTTTCTTCTCTTCACTTTCCATTTTGTGAGCAGAAGGTCAATGTAAGAGCAAGAATAGAGAGCGTAGGAGTGGGAAGCTAGTGTACTTAGCCTTGGAGGAGGCATTTTGGGAAATGTTGCCAGACTGACATGAATGATGCTATCTGTTCCACGGTGCTGAGAGACTTACAGTGACTTCTTTGTTATTTATCAGCGATAAAGAGGGGTAAGTCTAAGTGAGAGAGGAAACCATTTGTTTAACCAGTTCAGTCACAGACCAGGACTAAGCAGGGAACATTTTTCTGATACTACAATTGCTGTGATCATTTTCAAATGTTCTCATTCCACGTTAGAAAATGAATCAAGATCCTACTTTTTTTTTTTCCTCCATGAAAGTCACAAAACCCCTAAACACACAGTGAGAAATGAAGCTTAATATATCCAAGAGCTTGGTAATGAAGGCACTTACTTAAAATGTAGGACATCCAGATTCAAATTCTTTCTCTGCCTGATTCAAACCAGTGTTTGCACTAGAGCCTTAAAGTTATATTATTACAAGGTTGTTTGCTAATCAGTTATGTCTTCCTGTATGTTGGACCAGAAATCCTGTCCTAGAGCTAGGAAACCTGCCTTAACAGGCAATCCATCAAAACTGATACACTAGCACAAAAAGCTTGGGGTTTGGCAAATTGGTATTTATCAAACCAGTTTCATTGAAAAATCTTCAAGCAGCTTCATTGGTGATGGAGATTTAATGAGGCACATTGCCTATTGTGCATGTTAATTCTTACTGAATCGGGCTTAGAGAAATGTCTGTAGGCAAGAGAGAAAAACAAACCCAGCAGTGTTGTCCAGACATAAAAGACATAAAGCAAACATTTCCTAGGGCGTTACAAGGAAACCCTGAGAAGACACAAAAGAAAATCCTGAAAGATTCTGTTGCTTTGATTTGAGCAGTAGTCAGGTAACCTTTGTGTAGTGCATTGCCTCTTTGGAGTCCAAGTACTTCCTTGGTAATTTGTATTAACTTCACTTGCTTATTCTTCAGATGTTAGTAGTTAAATGTCAATAGGCTACAACAGCCTGAAATAGTGCTTGTCAAAAGGTGGCCAGATCTAGAGCCAATTTTAATAATTCGTAGAGTCCCAGATCCTGTGGTTGGACTCCAGGCTAATACATCCTGCCTATTACCATGGGCTGATTCAGCCACAAGTGCTGAGAGTCCACTGACATCCTTTCTAACCCAAGGAGAACTTTTCTTTTCTGTACCTTACTATACTGAATAAACCTGGGGGCATCTGAAGTAAAAGAAAAAAAAAGTACAACATTTCTCTGCTTTGGGATCCTGGATGGATCAGGATCCTGGACCAGTTCTCCTGGTATCAGAGGTCATGACAATTTGGAGTGTTTCAGCCTGTCGTACTGGATACATCAATCACGGTGGCAAAGCTTAAAGAGAATGGAAGAGGAAAAGCAGTAACGTGGTTTGCCAAGTGTAGGGAGGAGAATAATCCTAGGGCTATTTTGTAAAACGTCATTTTTGGTTTTGACACCACACAATGGCTTCTTGAGCCTGTAAACACAGTCTCCACCAGTTGTTGTTCCTCTGAGTCAGACATAAACAATGCCTAGACCTTGATATGCCTGTAAATAACTGACAAAAAGAACCAAACTAAGGACAAAATTCTCCAAAATCTCCTTGCTTCTATGTTCAGTAAACAGAGCTTGTAGGACTCTATAATGATTTTAGGAAATTCTTGTTGGATATTTGAGGGGCTTCATCAGCCTCAGCAGTGTAAAAATGTATGTTCCCCTATCAACTATGATCCCTCTGGTTTCCTGCTAGTGAGTTTGACTCTCTGTTGAGTTGGGTACCTTGAGGCATGGGCGTGAGCATTCCTTGGTCTGACAGAGGCATGGCACTCTAGGAGGACCTTAGGTCTGCTTTAAAGCTTACAACCCCTTCTTGGGATACTCCTACCTCTCCTTTCCCAATCCTATCCCCCTCAGCTTTTAGCCCTTAAACAGAAAAGCTGACCCAGATTCCAGCTGGAAGTGTCTGCTGCGAGGCAGGAGGGATTGGGAGACAACTGGTGCCCAGGGAGCAGAATGGCTGGTCAGCACTGAAATCTCAGAGGGAGCTTGGGTTGCAGACCACAGATTCAGAGAGCTGCTGGGCGCTTTACAAGGTGCAGTACTGAACCTTGTACCCTGTTTTTCAAACAGACCTCGATTGTGTGTAACTTCTGCTTACTCAGGTAGCACTGCATTACAACTTTGCATTTCTAACAACTTCTGCATTTTGCAAGAATTTACTGGCTCGCAGTGAATGTGTTATGAGCACTGTTATTGTGAACACTTTCATTGAGAATACTTCTCTGACAGTTAGCCTGCAGGCTTTCAATTCTACTGAAGATGCCTTTGACTTTACTCATACAGCATCAGCCTTCCGGAGAGGCCTGAGACAGATACCGATGGCTATTGTGTTCCATGCAATCACTTGGAGAAGCCGTCTGAAAAAATAAGGTGTTCACATATGCATTCAGAGATGTGATAGAAAGTGAAATACTCAGTGTGGTTTGTAATTGTGTTTATCTAAGTGCAGCCTCTTCCTGTGTCAGAACAGATTTTTGCAAACAAGAGGGCAATGATTCAGTTCCAGGGGAAGACTGACAAAATAAACCCCGGGTTCTGCTGACCTGATGCAGTGCTGAACAGTGTCCTACCCTGGGAAAATATTTCCTCCTTCATTTTCATAAATATTTATGTAATTCCTTCTGGGAAACATGTCTTCTTCAGAAAACTGAACATGCTCCTCCCTGACACATATTTAACTGTTTGTTTACACATGAGAGATTATGGGCATGTACCCAGCCTCGGATTTTTACACTCTTATCTCAGGCATTTCTGTCTTTTAGAGTTCTCCTTCACTCTCCTCCTAGAGATCGCATCATGTCTTGAGCCACGGGGCTTAGTTCTGGCTCTGGAATTTGAACATCCCCAATGCTCTTTGAGAGTTATTATTTGGGGCTGCAGAAATAGGGACCAAATGCAATGTTCTGCCTGGAATCACACTTCTGTCCTGCCCAGCTATGCCCTTCCCATTCTGGTTTGAGGCTCCTCTCTAAAAAAAAAACAAACAAACATGAAAACAATTAAACAGAGGATTGCATGGCTAATGAAAGTATTTATATTTAGAAACAGACCTACACACTGCTGTGAACTGAAATAGAACTGG